GGTTGAGGAGGAGGACGCGGGGAGGATGGAGGGTACTGTAGGCGGGTCCTCGCTCCTGGCGGGAATGCCATTGTCTGGGTGATTGGCGCCGAGGACGACCGTCTGTCTTTTGGGAGCTCACCTGCCTAGCTCAGACAACCTGCCCCATGTCTGATGAGGAGGCGAGTGGTGTAATGAACAAACGACATGCACTGCGAGCTTGTGTGTTTGTGTGTGTGTGTGTGTGTGTGTGTGTGTGTGCTCAGTGTGTGCTCGGACACCCCACCAAGCAAGCCAATGAGCGCTAGTATGAGCGCTAATGAGCACCAGTACGTCTACCACTGGCCAGCGATCAAGCCTTACATAGCCACTTCTGAGAGCGTCGGACACTTTGCCATCTGCTCTCCCTTCTGCTCCCCTATAAAATCGCCCGACGTATATTCCCAAGCACCCCTCCAATTTCACTGAATACCCCTTCTGGGTCGAGAGCAACCCATCATCTCGATACATCCGACGTATCCTGCGACAAGCGTACGTCCTGTGTTTCGTGTTTACAATATTACTGATTGCGTGGGCAGGCCATGTGACAATCAACATACTTCCTGACGATGTTCTCCTACACATATTCCATTTCGATCGACTAGATGGCCATCTTTCCTCCCTGCCACTGTCCATGTGGCGTCATCCTGGGAGATGGCATCGATTAGTCCATGTATGCCGGAGGTGGCGAACCGTCGTTTTTATGTCGCCAAACTTTCTCGACCTGAGACTCGTCTGCTATCCTAGGACACGCTTGGAGCTCCTACGTATCTGGCCACCTTTGCCAATCGTTATAAGGAACATGGTCCATACGCCTCACCTTGAAGATTATGACTCTGATGCTGCACTGGCAATCGTGGACCGTAACCGTGTATGCGAGATTTACCTCAATATAACGAGTCCGCAATTGCAACGGTTGGCTTCAACGATGCAGGAGCGATTTCCGGCGCTGACATGTCTCAAGCTTGTCTTCTGTGGTTATTTCAGCTTTATTCACACCGGTCGACGGCTTCTTAGCTGGAACTGCCCCACGTCTGCAATTTCTCGAATTGCGTTTTATTGCATTCCCTGCGCTTCCGAAACTTCTTTTGTCCGCAACCGACCTTGTCCACATCGACCTCCGGAGAATTCCCCATTCTGGGTACTTCTCACCCGAGGCGATCGCCACTGGCCTGGCCGTGCTGGCCAACCTCAAATATCTCAACATTGAATTCGAATCTCGATCTCGACCCTACAAGGAAAGCCGACATCCACCGCCACCTACACGCACCATCCTCCCCGCTCTCACTAGTTTTCAGTTCGTACTTAGAGAGCTTCATGGCCCTTATCGATGCCCCTTTGCTTGACACCATCCGGATAACCTTCGCCCATCAACACATATTCGACAGTCCACAACTTGCCCAGTTCACGAGGCGCACGGCAAGGTTTCAGACACTCAATGAAGCACGTGTGTACTTTTGACGATTCTGGCATTCAAGTCAAATCTTCACCTACACCGACCTTTGGCGAAGAGTCCGGGTTGATAATCTCATACGAAGATTATGACTGGAGGCTTTCATCTCTGGCGCAGGCCTTTACATCGTTCTCCCCTTTGATCTACAAAGTGGAACACCTCTACATCCATGAGCCCCAATATTTGTCTTCACGATGGATAAGCGTCCTTGAGAACTTGCCATGGCCGGAATTTTCCATCCATTTACCGCTGTGAAGAACCTCTACGTATGCAAGGAGTTTGCACAATGTATCGCCCTCGCCCTGCAAGAGCTCGTCGGGGAAAGAAGGATACATGTATTGCCTACCCTGGAGAGTCTTTTTTTTGAAGAACTTCAGCCATCGGGACCTGTCGAGAAAGGCATTGGGATGTTAGTTGCTGCACGACAGCTCTTAGGTCACCCTCTAGCTGTCTCTCGCTGGTTCAGACAACAGCGTGACAGTAGTTGTGTTAACATCTCCGTGATCTAGTCTCCGTGAATGATTACATGTATAGAGGCAACTTGTCCTTAGACTTGGTATTAGGCGTGTTGACTGCGTGCCCGAGTAGTGCAATGTTAGCCGAACCCTCAGGTCCGTGGTTCATCCGCGTTTTGTGACATCATAGCGAAGATCCCGTCCTTGATGTCAAACCCAAGCCAATCTCAACGAACGAAAGTAAGCCAAATCAGGGTGGACAATCATTGATAATGTTGAGGGACAATGGGTCATGAACGTGCTGACACCCTAAGCGCAGCAAGCCGCTGGCGCATCTCGCGCAGTTTCTCCGCTCCACGCCCCGCACCCTTCCCAAACACGATCACCCTACCACTGCTTCCAGCCCGTGCCGTTCGCCCCGCGCGATGGAGGAAGTCTGCCGTATTTCGCGGAGGGTCCAGAACGAATACATGGGACACGCTTGGGTCGAAATCGAGGCCGCGCGCGAGGAGCGATGTGCTAAGCAGGACATGCGGTGACGACGACTTGCTCTTCGTCTCCGTCTCCCCTGGACCTGTCGCCGCTTTCCCTCCCGCGTCTTCTCTCCCACCCGCACTTGGCAGTTGTGAGTGAAGGGAGTCACTTTGTTTTAAAATGGGCTTGAGGAACCCCGCGAGATGCTTGTTCGATCCGTACACGCGTAGTCCACCTCCACCGCCTTGTCGGCTGTCACTACTCTGGCCCGTCACGACGATATTGGGCACGCCATTCCCCGAGAGGTACGCGCCCATCTCGGCCGCGCGAGCGCGTGTGTTGGCAAAGATGACTATTCGCGCGCGGCGCCGACCGGCGAGCGCGTTGTCGCGCCATACGGCCTTGAGCTTTGCGAGCACTTCTGCGTTTCGGTTGCCCGAATTGTACGGGGAGAATTCGAGCGCGAGGTGCGCGGGGAGGCGGTGCAGTCGCGGAGAGACGAGACGGGTCATCGTTGGGTGGTGGTTCTCGAGGTGGGCGGCTAGAGCGGCGGGGATAGTGGCGGAGGAGAGGACCAGATTGAATGGATAGTCGAGCGGCATAGGTGCTCGGGACTTGTTCCTGTTGTCACGGATGAGGGCAGGGACAGGCTTCCCCCGCGCAGCAGCGATGTCACTTAGAATGAGGAGCGTTTGGTCGATGAAGTCGGGGTCTATTCGACACGATTAAAAAAGGGGACATATAGATGGGCTATGGGGCATGCGTACCAAAAAGAACGTCCGCTTCGTCGACGACCACCCACTCGATTTCCGAAAAATTGACTTCAGGATGACCCACAGACCTTTTCGGTCGCTTTTCCTCACTCTTAGCAAAGTTTTTGTCCCATCTACCTCCGCGTGTCATCCTTAGTACTGTGGGAGGAGTCCCAACAAGCACGTCCAGAGTATGGCTTGTTCCGCTCCCAGGACGCACCTCAAACTCGCCTTCCGCATCATCACCGTCAAAAACATTAGACATCTTCGCAGCTGACACCCGAGCGCTCGCAACGTTCGCGCGCGATGCGGTCTGCACGCGCAGTCTGGAGTGGTGGACAAGTGCCTTACCAAAACTCGCCAGCTGACGGGAAAGTTCGTGGGTTGGTGCCAGCACGAGTGCCCGCGGGCCGGTGCGTCGTGGTGACAGATGTTCGGTCTCCTTGAGGTCGTGCAGCATCGGAAGGAGGTAAGCGAGGGACTTGCCCGAGCCCGTCTCGGATGCAAGCAGGAAGCGTCGATATGAATCAAGGGGCGGGGCGACGAAGAGGTGTTTTAATGAGAGTGACTGGATCGGCGTTGGGCGCGCATTAGGACCCAGTACGTCGTGCACGGATTGTAGGAGGCCAGATGAGAGTGGGGGAGAGGAGAAGGCAGAAGGGAGTGTATTCAGTGCTTCGGGTGTCACAGAGAAATCGAACTCGGTAGGGACATGAGACGCAGGGTGGGCACGCCTTCGCACCTGGACATTATTATTCCCAGCCTTTGGTTCGTGTTTAATGCCATCCCGACGCCGCAGAGACGTCCGACGCAATCGTCTTTCACCTGCTTGCCGAGGCGCAGGACAGGGAAGTTTTTTGTCACGCTTCGATGAATGCGGAGGACGGTCCCGTGAGAATCTTGATGGCGCATCACGCGGGGCTACTTCAATCAGCTTGCGCGTAGACTTACGAGGAAGACCTGGGGCTGGTCTTGGTGTAAGATCCTTGACGAGACGCGTGCGAGAAGTCCCTAGGGCAGCTGGAGTGACTCGTCGAATGATATCCCTGTAAAACGATAACATGCGTACCTGAAGCTAAATGACGGGTAAAGTAACGTCCGGCTATCTCGCGGCCAACCAGCCTTACCGCACGCCTTAACGACATGGAGTGGGATAGAGAAAACGCTAGTGGCAGTCTTGAGAGTGGCAAACACGTGATCAACGGACAGATCGCGTTAAACCACAGCCTGAGGTTATGGTCGTCGCTGATTTCCTCTCATTTCAATCAACCTGCAGCGTTCTACGATACTCATCGCATTCGTACCATCTCACGTGAATTCTTCGTCAGGAAGATTTTCAAACTCTGCACAGTCGAACAAAGGCCCGGATTCTCCTAAGGCACTCGTAGGGCTGGACCAAATAGGCGTGGCGACTGTCCCTGCGCAGGATGGCTCAACGGGCACCCTCAAGTGCGATTCCTGCATTCTTCTACACCACATCTTCTTCTCAAAAGTTCCGATCATACCTGCTCAGTGGTGTGTGGCCTAGCGCTGGTGGAATTTTCTCATTGTGCATTTGCGAACGAACAGCAGCAGAAATCACTGTCCTGGTTGACCTTGGTTGATCTGCACGCATGCCTCTGCGACATGGCGAGCATTTCGAAACGAAAGTCGTCCACGTTTGCGCGCGCTATTGGAGTGTAGGGCCCAAGGTAGGGTCTGATAATTCACGCGCGTCACAAAAGTGTCACAAATTGACCTTACAGTAAGGCGCGAGCATTCTGAATCGTACCAAGGGTGGCTCCGCCTATTGGCAGATTGGCAGATTGCCGGAACGAGAAAGAGGTCAATATTGATGCGTCATTCAAGGCATTGTTGGGGTAGTGGTAACCTGGATCGTTGCCACTGAATGACGCGGGTTCGATCCGCCCCGGGTTCGATTCCCGGACAATGCAGTTATTTTTTGTTTGTCTGATACTGTACAGTTATTGCTGAACAGTACTTGAGATTCTAGATTGAGCTCGTTAATGTTGCGTGGGAAAGACTTGGCAACGGATTGTTGACTGGGCTTCATCGATCTTCATCGATTCATCTCTCGTCGACTCTCGCTTCAGCCACCTTTCACGCTCGTGCTTGGGTTCTCGCTTTTCCTCCTATCGTCCCGCACGGCCGCTCCACATCGGCCTTTCATAATCTTTACCAGGGAAATATTCCTGCCTCATCTTCGCCCCCAGCGCCATGCCGCTCAGCATCCTAAACTTTCCTTCCGAACTCCTGTCTGAAATAACACGCAATGTGATATCCAGGAAGGACCTCTGCCGGCTGCGCAGTGTGAACTTGCTCTTCGATACACTGGCAACACCGGAAATTTTCAAGAGCATCACCGTCCGTAACAATATAAAAAGCTTAGAGATGCTTTGGAGCATTCTTCACACACCTCACATCGCTCGACATGTTCAATCCATTAAGTATTTCGAAGGTACGTGACATTGCGATATATAACCACTGCTGCGTCGTGGATAGCACTGACCGAATATCTTTACTACAGGACGGGCCATTGTCACAAGGGAAGGTGCGTTTGTAAAGTGCAATAAATGTTTCTGACAGCCGAAAAACAGTCCGGAAACGTATCGAAGCAGCATTCTCCATCCTCCATCAGACCCCTCGCCTGAAAGCGCTTGAACTGTACTTTGATGTGTACTACATTGGAACTGGAGCAGTCCATTCTTTCCTCTGGGACGGAAGTATGGAAGCTCACTCATCAATGGGATGTTGTCTATGCCTTATGGAGCAACAGAAACCCCCTTCCAGAATTACGATCTCTAATATTTTGTGGTTGGGTCGGCGCGTCCAAGTTCGCCTCACTCTTCGACGAAGCACCCATCACATAGCTCACCACGTCGTTACGGCATTTGACGTTTTCCCTTCCCGACGCCAGTTAGGGGGTTGGAGATATGGGAGGCACGCAAGCTGTACTGGAAGCGAGTTGTGGTTCCGCGCGTGCTGCAACCTGCGGTAAACCTCGAGTCGCTCGAAATAATCCGGACTCGGAGCAGCTCGTGGCCCGAAAGACAATGTCTTGACATTTCGCAATTATCCACTTATCCCCAATTAAACTTGCGGCACTCTCACTCAGGAACATCATCTGGGAAGAAGGCACAATCACTGAAGGGAACATCGTCACGTCCTCTCCCTTGGAGGACTTTATCGTGCATCACAGCAAGACGCTGAAGAAACTCGAGCTGCATGACTGCTCAATCTGTGTTGAGAAAGGATCTGAGCGGCCACTCTACTGGGCAGACATCTATAAGCGTCTTGCTAAAGCGCTGACAGGGCTAGTGGAACTGGAAGTGGAATTCGAAATCAAACGTGACAATAAACCGTATATTTGTCTTGGTTATACTGGTTCCTACCACCCTGTGGAAATTTTGGAGGGGACGGAAGTTGCGGAACGGGATGCACTGGCACTCGAGGAATTCAAGGCAATTGTCAAGAACTAGGGGATAGGTGGTGACACGGGGTTTCGTAGTTTTGACAGTTCGATTAGAGGACAAAGCTCCCAAAGCTCCCGAAATGCTATCCTGTTTGTGTTTATCGTCGTCCAGGTATGTGGCACACAGAGTGACACAGATCGCTATCAGGGACATGGTGCTTCCAAACGTCACTTTTGAGACACCATGGAGTCTCAAACTTCCCAGTGCGTCATGGGGATTTCCTTAACCCTGTTAACTTGCGCCGTTTCCATGATCTTCCAAAGCTTCCCAGCATACAGACCCCACGTGAGTGGCCAACCTCGAACCGTTGAACGTTGAACCGCTGCTGCTCTGCCGGCTCGCGTACCTCGGCCATGTGCTCCTCCTCAACAGTAGTAAGTCCCCTATGACATAATAGCCCCTGAGATGAGGCCTATGAGGGGTTATACGATCTTTACTGTTATGGCCCCTAAAAAGGAATATCTATTTAAACTTTTTAAAGTCAACGCCCCCCTCTGTGAGCCTTGCAAGTATTCTCTCGTCGACTCCTCTCGTGCTCGGGTTCTTGCTTTTGCTCGCCACTCGGCCGCTCCACATCTGCTTTTCATAATCTTTATTAGGGAGATATCCCTGCCAAAACCCCTGCCTTATCTTCGCCCCCAGCGCCATGCCACTCAACATCCTAAACTTACCTCCAGAACTCTTGTCTGAAATAACACGCAATGTGATATCCAGGAAGGACCTCTGCCAGCTGCGCAGTGTGAACTTGTTCTTCGACACATTGGCAACGCCGGAAATTTTCAAGAGTATTACAGTCTGTAACAATGCAAAAAGTACAGAGAGATTTTGGACCATTCTTCACACACCTCACGTCGCTCAACATGTCCAATACATCAAGTTTTACGAAAGTGGTACGCAAACATTGCGACATATAACCACCGCCGCGTTGTGTATGGCACTAACTGAATGTCTTTACTACAGGACAGACCATGGCCGAAAGGGAAGGTCCGTTTGTAAAATGTACTAACGGATCATAAGTATTTCTGACCGCAAAAAAACAGTCCGGAAACGTATCGAAGCTGCATTCTCTCTCCTTCATCAGACTCCTTGCCTGAAAACGCTGGATCTGTACTTTAATGCGTACTACGAAGAAATCTCAACTAGCGCCCATCCCTGCGCTGAGATGGCTCACTCTCACCAATGGGATATCGTCTTTGCATTAGGGAGCAACAGAAACCCCCTTCGAGAATTACGATCTCTAACATTTTCTGGTTGGCTCGGGGCGACCAAGTTCGGCTCGTTCTTTGACGAAGCACCCATCGCACGGCTTACCGCATCGTTACGGCATCTGGGTTTCTCCCTTCCCGAGAGCTCCAGGGGGATGGCGAAATGGGGGGCACGCGAGCTGTACTGGAAGCAAGTTGTGGTACCGCGCGTGCTGAAACCTGCGGTAAACCTCCTTGAGTCGCTCTCGATAGTCCGGAGCAGAGCATGGCAAGAAGTACAGTATCTTGACGCTTCGCAAATACCCACTTATCCTCGACTTGCGGCGCTCTCACTTAGGAACGTCATTTGGGAAGAAGGCACAATCGGTGAAGGGAACATCGTCACGCCCTCTCCCTTGGAGGAATTTATCGTGCGTCACAGCAAGACGCTGAAGAAACTCGAGCTGCGTCACTGCTCAATCTGTGTTAAAGAAAGATTTGAGCCGCCACTCACCTACTGGGCAGACATCTACAAGCGTCTGGCTAAAGCCCTGACAGAGCTGGTGGAACTGGAAGTGGAATTTGACATCAAAGGCCGTCTCGAAAGACCGTATGTTTATAATCCTCATAATTTCTACTCCTCTGTGGAAAGCTTGGACGGGACGAGACGGGATGCCCTGGCACTGGAGGAATTCAAGGCAGTTGTCAAGATCCGGGGGATGGGTAGTAGGCGGTAGCTCGGGGTTTTGACCGTGAAGCCAAATGATGGCAAGGGTGAGGTGGTACAGACGATGATAATGAAGGACTCGGAGGGGACATTATAGAGACTAGTTTTGATCCTTTGATTTACTCCAAAAGCACCAGAAATGCCGGAAATCACAGCATGTTCGAGTGTATCATAGATCTCACATACATTCCTCTGTACTTCACGCGACATGTTTGAGGTGTGTGGCGCACATAGCATGCCATCAGGTTGACGCCGCAAAGCATTATTACCACCTCTAGGAGGGCACCGATTCAATAGGATAACATCACACATCGTGGCCATTACGCGGAAAGTGTGACTGAACAGGAACCGAAGGAAAACCACCTGGTTTCTTACGAGCTTAGCCTCTACTCAGGCTGTGTATCCAATCCCAGTAAAAAAGGAAGAGATAATTACAGTATACAGTATATGGTGTCATTCGAGTCCGACCATAGCAAGCAGTTCATTGTCGACGTCGATCTCGCGCTCCCGCGCCTGCTCCTGCTCCGCCCGCACCTTAGCCAACGCCTCACGCTCACGCTCGCGCTCCCGCACCGCCTCGATTTCCCTCGTAAGGACGTACGAAGGCGTAATATGGGGTTTATAGTCCAACCGACGCTTGACGTAGAATGCCATGTATATCGGTGCGGAGGCTCCCAGAACGCCGGCGAGCGTCGCGGGGGTCACCTTGTCGTCGTCGAAGCGGCACCACTTTTATTGGATGTCCGAGTCAGCCGGGGAGAGAGGGAAAGGGGGGAAATAGGACGGCGCACTGTGTCTTGGAAACGCGCAAAGCTTGTGTAGTGCCCGTTATCGATCTGGCCTTCGTGATTAATCACTGCAAAGAGCTCGTAGTCGTACAGAGCCTCTGGGCCTGGATAGCTGTTCCCGTGTCGGGAGAGAGGGGAGTAAAACACCTGATAGGTAGCTGTCTGACTGGCTTCATCGAGAACTACTTACGTGCCGCTGCCATCGAGGGCCGCCGTCGTGTATGATGCCATATTTATTGATACGGGTACACGCACAGGGGTGTCAATCTTGTATGTCTCCGATCCACGCTTGTTCGAAGCGCTGCCCTCGGACATATCATCAGCAAAACGATTCCCGCATACTTTCACATTGACCGGGAGGAACACCAAACCTTGAACTGGATGGACAGCACCGGTGGAAGCCGCCTGATCGAGAATCGTTTGTTGGCTTCCTGAGAGACCTTGCCACATTTCTGACACGTCCAATCCTTGACCGCGATGTTCTCCGGCTGCGTAAATCTGTGTGTCAGCGATGTCGTCAGTATGTGTTCCCGACGGAGATACTGAGAATCGAAGCACCGTTTAAGATATCCTGCGAGTGTGCTCTGTCCGGGACTAAGGCCAAGACCGAGGGAGATATCGAGACACGGGTCGACAGTCTCGCTGAGGGCGTGGCATCGCGGACAGCGCATGTCGCTTTGGAGCAGACCACCAAAAGTGCTGTGCACGATGCAGTTGCATTTGAGGAGGGTGGACCCGCGCGCGCTCGCGTGTGCCGCGTTC